AATTCCAACCCACCATTCAAATTTTAATAAAAGACATTGTAATCATAAATAAGGACTGGAAGACGGCCGAAAGCAGTTATCCTGCTTTATCTCACCGCTTCTTCTTTATGTGTTCTTTTATTTCAATACTTAACACCAAGGAAGGGAAAGACAAGATAAAGTCCATACATTCCTAGATTGTGATTGTAATCGAAATTGGACGTAACGTAATTTGAAAACGACTTCGGAACGGCGTTCTGTTATTTCCAGAATTTTCGACACGCAAACAATGGGGACCAAAAACGAGCATGCCAAAGCTTTTAAAAACTTTAATATAGTCAATCTAACATTTGTTGATACGTCGCGCAAAATTTCCCGCCTCAAATCTGCGCCGACAATTGGAGAAATTGATATGAACGTACCCGTTCGTATCGACGCCGACATCGGTTATGTCAATTGTTTCCTTGGCGGTACAGATCACATCTAGTTCAGTTAAGCAAATTCTATTTAACCAATTGGAAATTGGGTTCCGAGACATGGCAGAATCGTCTGTAGGTGGAAGCTGAATGCGGAACTACAATAACATTATAATTTTTAGAGGTGAGTGCAAATGGTGTCGTAAACTTGCGTGAAAACATTTATAGGTAGTTATATATGCCGTGGTGTATAACACAATAGTTATATATGCCGTGGTACAGGCGCTCCTGGACACAGAGCTACAACGGCTTTTAAGACTTAGACAAGTAGAGCCTTACTTCGAATGCCATAAAACTTAAAAGCAAAGAATATATTATTTGGAATTTTAAGTGCTGTAGTTCAACAATTGGCGGTGAAGTATTTGCTTTGTAAAATATGGTACACAATGAACAAACATAATTTAACTATACACTACCGAACCGGGCAGACGTTTTCCTGTACACCCGACTTAAATCCGTAACTTAAAAAAAATTGTGAATCTAAACCATTCTAGAATCGACCTCAACACACAAAAAAAATTCATTAAAATCGGTCCAGCCGTTTAGGAGTTAAGTGACATACACAAGAACAGACGAATTAAATATAAAGATTAGTCAGTATTACACATAAACCGTAGTTTGAAAATGTCCATCCACAGTGCTAGACATTTCGAATAAAATATCACACAGACGAAATGCCAAAAGCCAATTCCAATGCAGCATAAACTAAATTATGGAAAGAGGCAAAAAGAAAAGTGAAAAATATACTATTTATATTTATATAAAATTTTAACATTAACTTTTTAATATATTAAATAATACATGGTTATGTCACTCAAGTAGTTTCAGCACTTTACATTTGAATCCGTAAATTGAGTATATATGATTATTTTGTAAAAAAAATGAACCGACAACTTGGTTAAGCTTTGTAACCTAAGCTTGGCTTCCTGACCTCGTCATCATTCTGGTACCTGACCCCAGTACTAGCGGAGTCAATAGAATTGTTGAAATCATATTCAGCTCGTCTGAGTGAACGTTGGTTAAGTGAGCATGGTGAATGAACCTGTTTATTTAAGAAGTATTTGAAATTAAAGACCGGACCAGCCGTATTCGAGGGTATTATGTACAGTGCTAGGGCCACGCAACAATTCTGCTGTTGCACGGATAGGCAGGCTGGTCCGGTCGCTATTTGTAGGTCATACTTGAACCGAGCGGGAGTCGAATGTAGGACACCGATAAATAATAAATATTTTCGGAAACATTTTTACACAACGTTCTCTAATCCCAAACTAAGAAACGCTTGTACTCGCCTCTGGCTCAAAAGGCAAGTTCACAACTCCCCTGTAACCACGCCAATCAGGTCACCGATGTTTTAGCTTATCAACGGCAAAAACCGCTTCATCGATAACAGACACCCTGACGCTGTTGAATTATTGCAAATTATTTGATTTATCAACTACAATCAAATCACAAATAAATAGTTTTTTTTAAGTTTGAAAGTGGCAAACGAGCTTTTTACGGTGGTAGGGCCACGCAGCAGCCTCGGCTGTTGCACGAATGGGCAGGCCCGTCCGGGTAAGTACCACGACCTCACAGAAGACCAGCGTAAAGTGACAGTATGACAAATACTTTCGCGTTTCGTCTGGTGGGTGAGGTAGCCGGAGCCCAATTTTCAAAAGGTTTTTTCAAAAGCCCAATTTTCAACGCATCTGTAACCCTCGGGTGTGGCAGATGTCCATGGGCGGCGGTATTTACTTAACATCAGGTAAACCGTCTGCACGTTTGACTTTTCGCATAAAAAAAAAAAAAAAAAAGCTAGTGGTTCACCTGATATTAACTGATAACCACCGTCAATGCGTTGCCACCATTCAATACAGTATTATTTTAACTTCAATCCAAGTTAGCCGTTAATAACATTTTGTGTTAGGGTTATTCCGTGCCTTTATGCCACCTAGGTGGGGTCGGCACAACATAATGGTATTGGCTAGGCTTTTTTACTTTTTTTATTAGCTTTCAGGGGTTATGAACTTTAGGAACTGATGGTATATTTTGTGGTTTATTTAGTTCATTGAGAGAAACTTAAATTTAGCGCTTACGAGCCGATCGGGGTAGTAGATAGTGAAACTATCTCTTGCGAGGCAGGGTGTGGCGTCAAAGCAAACTAATTAAAAATATTGTGTGTGATCAACACAGTGTTTTCTATAATAATTTCTTGTATTTACGCGATTACACATTATAAATGAAACTAATTTTACGGATTTATCGCGTTTATTTTTAAGTCCCGTGACCATGAACGCTGTAAAGGGTTCGAAACGTTGGCAATTAAAATTTAAAAAAAACGCGATAAATCCGTAAAATTAGTTTCATTTATACAGTGTTTTCTAGTGACTGGGTTCTTTAAACAAGTTATTTCCACCCAAACATATGGGGTCGGCGTGATTGCGAATGATGGCTGTTAGTGGTATTGACTAAATTATTTTCAAAGAGCACCAGCCCGTCAACCCTCATTAGGAACAAATACCCAGATCGGAAACACCTATCCGTGGGTTAAACAAATACTTGTCCCGTGTGAGAATCGAACCGCCAAAAGTCTCCGGCGCCGAAGCCAATGCGTTAGCAACTGTGCCGCTTTGTTATCTGACACTTATTGAATCTAAGAAACGTTTAATCTAATACTCATCACGGTTTGATGACTTGAAAAACACTCATTACAATTAGCTTACCAGCCGAGCTAACGAGTCCTGAAAAAAGAAGCCAGTACCTTAGTACATTGGTTCTTAATATATTACTGTTTCACAATTATAAACTATATCTTTATTTAGCTTAGTTACCTTTATTTAGTTTAGGTTCAAGGAAGCTCAGCGTGGTGGACGGAGCTACAAGAGGGTGCGGCATCGAATTTAAGAGAATCGCTATTTTCTAAGAAATATCTATTGACAGGGTGTGTATAATTAGTCGAACTTATTCATGTAGCGGTATATCATAGAGTATGGGCGCTTGCTTTTAACTCAATATAGCCGGGTGTTCAAATTAAAATCGTAAGCGCTGAATTACCTCATGCTCATTGGTGAAGGAAAACATTTTGAGGAAACATTGATATTTTCGAAATAATAACAAAAAAAAATCGAAGATATGTAAAGTTCGGTAATCCGCTGTGCGGTCGCGTGGTGGACTATGCCCTGATACCCTCTGTACTATAGTATAGGAAACTGTATAGGAGACCTTTTCCCAGCAGTGGGACTTGTAGAGGTTAGGTGCTTTTTACTATTTATTATAGAGACTGTCAAAGCATACCCTGCTTACTTGGTAGTCACGGCTGTTTGTAATTTCTAAAACCGTCTTGGAGGAACCAGACTCAGAGCTATTTGGAGGAGATCCTTTGTTCGTGAACACCGCCGCAACACATGAGGGCTTGCATACGCGTTGACGACCAGACGAAACGCGAAAGTATAACACTTCGACTTCACGCCGGTCTTCCGCGAGGTCGTGGTACTTGATAAGCCTGTGATAAGCCTACCCGTTCGTGCAACAGTAGAAGACGGTTACGCATTTTTTAAGAAAAATATTCGTTTTACGTTAAATTGCATATTATGTGTAATGATTATTATCAGTAAATTCATGGTAGCTGTCAAAATTGTCACATTTTTCCTTCCGCCTTCGTACAATATTAAGTTATAATTAACTAATATATTAACACGAATCCTTTGCCAACTTTTAATGAACAAGGCCCCGATTACCTCAATCACCAGACGAAACGCAGAAGTATAACACTTCATGTCGCTCTTCTGTGAGGTCGTGGCACTTTCCCGGACAAGTATGTTCTAAAAGCATGACGAGTTCTAAAATAATACTCATGGTTTCATTATTGATGCCGCAAGTTACTAGTTTTGTAAGTTTTAACCGCAAGCTCAAGTAGTTTCAAAGATCGAGATAACAACGATTTTTAAAAGTTAAATATTTCCAAACAATTTTTAATTTTTAATAATTAAAAATGTCGTTGCATGTGATAGGAACATCGAAATGAGAGAAATTACAATAGTTATATGACATGCACCCGAATATTACAATTGTTGTTACTGCGAAAGAAACTGTATTGATATTTTTTGTAAATAGAAATATATACTGCATAAATAGACCAAAATCACATTACTGTAACGAAATGTGAACTCTAAAATATGTTCACCATCAATCCCGCCAAAAAGTAACTTTTCCTATCAATACAATTACGACGTACATACCGCAACGTAAACCACAATACTACCCCCAAATCCTAGTGATTTGACCTCAAACAAAAATCCCAACAAACACAACAACATAAATAAATCAGTTCTAAGGGAGCGTCGCGTAAACGTAAACTTACTTTAACGCTGAAAAATACTCCCACAACTACAAATAAGAAGAAATACTCGTTTCAAAATGAACAGTAACACTATACGCTAATAAATCGAATACAACTGTCCCGTTAAAAAGTAACCGAAATTAACTGGGCTCTATACACACGAGAGCACGAGCCTTAGAACAGTCTCAAAACTTCAATGAAAATAGAATCGCATAACACGTCGACTACGCTACGACGTCAACGTCAACGGCAACCGCTTCCGTTAAACGGAACCGTTTTCCGATGTCGACGCGTAAACGGCGCGTAAACTGAGCGATTGGTCCAACGTCGCGACGCCGACACGTCCGAGCGTCGCGGGACGCCCGCGTGCACTCGCCCGCCGCACCACGGGACACTTGCACCGCGCCGACGCCGAACACGGCGCCGAGCTTGACGCCGAGCGTGACACTGAGCTTGACGCTAAGCGTCACACCGAGCTTGACGCCGAGCTTAACGCCGAGTTCGACGTCGGATTAAAGCGGAGCTTTCTCTGCGGGGTATGTTTCACATGGCCACGCAACAGCCGAGCTTGATGCCGCGCTTAGAGCCGTACTAAATGCAATTAGTTATCTTTGTTAAATATAGAAAAATGACATTTTCTTATTGTCAGAATACTACCACCGTTTCGGAAAGCTGCTAACCTGGAAGAACCGACGAAAAGAAACTCAACAGGACAATTTTATTTTTACCACGCAACACTGTTGTACGAATGGGCAGGTCCGTCCGGGTAAGTACCACGACCTCACAGAAGACCGGCGTTAAGTAGAAGTGTTACACTTATGCGTTTCGTCTGGTGAGTGAGGCAGCCGGGGCCCACTTTATTTAAAGGTAGCAACGCATTAGCAACCGTGTTGCAACCCACGAGCAACCTACGAGTGTTGCAAATGTCCATGGGTGGCGGATCACTTAACATCAGGTGAACCGCCAGCTCGTTTGCCACGTTTCTCACATACAAAAAACCCGGTGGTAGTGTTTTGACTATCAATAAGTGAGTGTAACGCTCCTATGGTGAATAATGATATTTGAGTTTGAAGATTTGAATTTGACGAAAAAAGATATGTTTCCAATGTATTAAAGTCCACTAAAGAAGGAGCTTGGAGGTATCAATTCATTTCTATAGTCAGTTATCGCTTAAATAATCATTAATGTTATAATAACATTTAACATACAAACGTATCATTTATGCCCAGTTTCCGAAAGGCCAATCAAAGCAGCAATCACATAACACTATGTCAAAAATGATCAGCTGTTAATCTCTTGTTAAACTGCCTTGGGTTTCTGGAAGGTTTGTTCAAGAAAAATTAGCTAATCACTGTATAACCAACGATAATGAATGAAATGAATGATTTACTTCAACTAACTCTTTCTATTATATAGCTGTCCCTTTTAAACAAAACTTAAATTAACGTCACTATCCAGTCCTGTCACCGTGTGATTGCCAACGTAAAAATCCGAGTTATAATAAAATTTAATTTATATAAATATATGCAAAATGTCAAGAAAAAACATTACAGAACGTGAAAAAAATGAACTTTTATCTATAATAAACAAAAAAGTATTATAAAAAGAAAGAATCCATATTATTTATTAAATTTTGAATTGCATTTTCTATTTTTTCTAATCGCATGATATGTTCGCATAATAAATAGGTAATAGAACACATGAATTTCCTTATAACGTATTAGGGAATTATGTTTATTTCTAATGAAAACTAAGATTTTTGATAAAATACATTTTTAACCAACGATTGATCGTCCAAATTGACAGATTACTTAATAAAACTTTTGACAGCTCCTTGACCACCGAAAAACGCTTTCAGAAACTCGATTTTCTGTTGATTGTCCGTTAATCAGTGACTAATTGCAAATCAAAATCAATGTTGTTTTCAGGCGTTCTAGCAACTCAGATCATGTTAAACAACGTTTGACAAGAGATTTATCGTAAATTAAAATTGATTGCGCTTTCGGAAACTGGGTGTTAGTGTGGCAGGGTCACGCAGCAGCTTCTGCTGTTGCAAGAATGGGCAGTTCCGTCCGGGGAACTACCATGGCCTCACAGGAGACCGGAGTGAAGCAGAAATGTTATTCTTTCGCGTTTCGCGGTCAAAAAGTTCGCGGGATGGCAAGGAAAGTTAAAATTTGCATGAATTGATCTTTGCTTTTCAATACACTCACCCTTAACGGCAATACATCTTTCGATCTCTAGAATAATTTCTTCGAACCACCGGGAAAAAAAATGTTTTGTCGAGGCCAACGTCGTGCATTGGACGGGAAAGCTAATTTTCCGCCCCATATCTTTAAAGCGTGTCGAAGACGCTACGAAACTTTGGCATCATTTCGAAATTAAATTATTTAACCGAGATTTAAAAGTGCAACCCTTTAATTAAATTTGCTTATAAGGTACTTATCATAATCAGAACGTGAAGCTACACTATGACATACCTTAAAAGTTTTGTTCCAGTAACTACCAAAGGAGAAATTGTTTTAAGTTAGTTTTTACGAAAGCCAAACCTCACTTGAGCACGTTTCCTATATATTAGGACCCAACAATCTAGCTGCGAACAAACAGCCAACTCCCTCAGTTTCAAAGACCTGAGGTCCGGTCTATTCTATTGAAGCTCGGTAATGACATCGCATTACGTTCGCAACTACCCAAAATTGAGGTTTACGATACAAATACGTCGTGCCATTTACCATAACGATGGTAAAACCACCACGCGAAACGGCCGCGTGGAATGAGCTCTGCTAAATTGGGCTCCCGTGCACCGTCTTAACGTCAGACCCTATTTGGCAATAAGGTCATGGGCTAGGTTTGTTTTTCTAACAAGACTAAAATGCGAAATGCTGGATCGCGTAAGCAAACAAATACATTCTTTTTTACCCCATGAGCAAGTGTGTATAAAAAGATTATTTATTAGTGACACGTGCTTTTTTATACATGTCCCACTGCTGGGCAAAGGCCTCCTCTGTACAGAGGGTATCAGGGCATACTCCACGACGCGGCCCCACTGTGAATTGATGGACTTCACATATTATATTCGAAATATATATTTTTTTGTTATTATTTCGAAAATATGCAACTATCCTCACTAGGTTTTCCTTCACCGGAGGGCACGTGATAAGTCGGCACTTAAAATAAACAATTTCATTGGTGCCGGCACTTGGAATAGAACTCGGGTTGTACGATTATATTGAATTGAAAGAGAGGGCGCGGACAATGAGCTATCAGGGCGTTGTACCCCATGTACCCCAACTTAAACTGGAAAACCCTTTAAAGAGTCTTCATCGATCGCTAAAAGAACTTAGGCTAATCACTTATTTACGACAGTGGGTCAGCGCCGACATCGATCCGATAGCATAAAATGTAGAACGCGACCGACCCAGCACGTGTCTCCGCGATGGAAAGAGTTACCTATTTTTACGTATATTTACGTTGATATAGATTCAAATGGCGGGCAAAGGATTCACCTGTGCAAAAGTTATCAGGACAACTATTTGCGGCCACAACAAAATATTTCCTAACACTTCTCAGACTGGCATTTTTCCCCAAGACGTTGAGATTCAGCTTTAAGAATCCTTATGTTTGTAACGAGTTTTATTAAAGAAACAACAAAGTTGTCAACGCATAATAGTACTACCCTCTAAAACAGTAAGAACACGTATAGTTGTCTTAAATCTTTGAAGGAACTAATATCTATTGAAGGTAATCCTACACATTATCTAATTCTCTATCTTCCCGTACTTCTATATATTATCACTCAAACGCAATTTATTCTCTTTTTTTATTTCAGATTACATAAATCAAACGAATGAATATTCCATTACTAACAACGAAGTTTTTCAATAATACAAGATCCGGAGTATTCAAATACCCGTTAATAAACAGCGTAGGGTACTTTCAATGAACAAAAAACATTAATCCATTTATATTATTATCTAAGCCAAGCCATAAAGTCGAAGCATAGTTGGCGAACGTTTTTGGCTACAAAACACGGAAAATCTATAATTCCCTTGAAACGGATTTAAACGGGATACATTCCTTTAGTAATTTTATTATAATGCGTAATCCGAACGCATAAAGGCATATTATTAACTATCTCCAATTATATAATAGACAGGTTTAATAATACCCAGAGCAATTTGAAGCATTTTTGAAATATAAACTATGCTTTTGAATATCAACTATGTATCTCCGACTTCAGGAATTCAAAAAATAAAGTAACAGCCTATACGAGTCCCACTGTTGGGCAAAGGCCTCCTATGTACAGAGGGTATTCGGGCATAGTCCACCACACGACCCCACCGCAGACTGAGATATTTCTAAAAGATCTTTTTTGTCATCACTTCGAAAATATGCAGGTTTCCTCATGTTGTTTTCCTTCAACGCTGACAACGTGATAAATCAGCACTTAAAATTAACAATTTCATTGGATTCAAGGACCGGGATTTGAACTCTGGGTGCTCAAATATATTAACGAAAAGCGACGGCACGGATACTGAGTTATCACGGCGGAAATATATAATAAATATTTCAGGATACGTCTCAGTCCTACCTAATCTAATAGTAGCTTATAAGTAGACACAGTGTGTGTATGTGGAACTTGGTAAAAGGCCCTGATACGGCGGTGATAGCTCAACACCGGCTGAATCGCTCGATCGTTACCACAACTCCCAGAAGGAACAAACCAAAGTTCTGACCGGAGCATCGCGAGCTGAACTGAGTTCAGAACACCATTTTGAACGCGAACATTCAGCTATACTAACGGTGTATGCCACGGACCGGACGTTGTTTACTCGAGTTCACGGCTAATGGGGAACTATGAAGACATTGAACACGCCAGCGAATTTAAATGCACACGCACGGACGGAAATAGGGCGAACAAAACCGCTGCGCCTGTTTGGGATCAACTTCCCGACCACGTGTCGGGTGCAGCGAAATAGTTGCAAGGCAACTAAAACGTCCAGTTGGTGTGCATTGAGCCGAGATGGCTCAGTGAGGGCACACAACTGGCTTCAAAAACGGAGGAGGTTCTCGATTCGACTCGGAAGTTTCGGCTGAGTGAATCGATTTTGATGATTATTATTTTTTTATATTAATTTCATTGGTATTGGGCCCCGGGGATACTCAGGGAACTACTGAAGATCAATAATAGAATGAATACGGAGCGAGATATTTGCAATCGTTTTTGGTTACTCGAGCAACCTGTGCTCAAATCCTTTATGATACCCGTTACAAATGCGTTACCACGTCACCTATAACTTATTTACGAGAACGTCACACTTTTCGCGCGCGGAAGCTAAATAGTTTGAGACCAGGCACTTTTGCCGTTAACAATTAGCTACCAAAAAGAAGCATCTCTGCAGTAATGACATAATAGTTAACTAGATGAGCCTACGTTAGGTTTTCGCTTATCATAAAAGTAGTGATACTGTTGCCCCCAAGGAATATTCCCAAAATCAAAAACATTCCGGCATACCGACAATAGTCGAGCTATAAACAATTAGGGAAACTATAAATAACGTGATATTTACTCAAGTCATGTGGCCGACGTAAGATGGACCGCCAACGTTCCAGCAAACTTCAAAGTTGAAAGGGAACGAGGGCGTGGGTTCCGTGACGCGTGGGTCTCGGTTAGTTGGATGATACGGCTACAAGATGCATGTAGTTTAGTTCACTAGAAGCGACTTGAAAGAAAATGTTTATCCAAACTAACGTTTCATTAGCTAGTGGATTATCATATTACAAACAAATGAATAACTGATTAGTGTAAATTTGTAGTTTCGTTTTTTTTTTTATAGTATTTCGAATAACTGTACAAGGAATGGATAAACCGCTTCAGGTGAACAATTTTCAGGATTTTTTTTCATTACGTTTCGTAAGAAACTCAAGGGATAATTTCGTAATAAATTGACTAGTTGTAACCTGAACGTTGTTTTTGTATGAGCAAATGTAAGTTTTACTAATAAATAATTTCTATGTTATTTATATACAAGGTATTACTAAAAATTTATATATAAAGAATTACTAACTACAATACAAACCGCTAAGTGGCATAGGTTTAGTATGTTCAATTCAAAAACTGCATAGACTTATAATATGTTATACAACGCGAATTCATTCAAAATACGACACATGACATCTAAGTTGACAACTTAAAAATGAAATTCTTCAACAATTCCAAAATGGCTAATATTGCATTACGTGATACAAGCACTAACTTTAGTCTAATAAAACTATGTTAATTATTATTGACAACAATTTAACCGTTATAGTATTATCAAAAATTGTAAAAATCTGATCAAAAATTTCCTCGTAAACCAATCAAACTGTATAAAATGTGTACAAAATTTGATGAAAAAAATATCAACTAATTAAAATATACACAATAAATCGTTACCCAGTGGAGTGGTCAAACAAAGGGTAAAACAAACGTACTCTAACCAACACTCATAATAGACTTCAAAACTATAATGTTAACTAGCCAAATAGTTAAGTGGAACATGTTAAAATATTCTTAAAACCAGCCACGCTCCGAGCGTATCCAGATATTATATCACCGGTTGTTACATCCGTGGTTTGTTATATTCCCGTGACGGACTATCGATACGAAGGGAAGAACGCGGAAATTAACTGACGGGGGGGATGAACGGGGAAGATATTACAAATACGACATATAAATGACACGGGGTAGGAAATAAGACTGCTGTATTGGAAGCAGATGACATATATATATAAAGTCTGTCTTAGTATGAAAAATAGACAGAGTAAGACGAATTTCTTCAATGACATACGAAGAGTTTTTATGTTAATAATAGAAAATAGGCACAGTTTACGTTTTCTTTAAATTACTTTTTACGAAGTCTATTATCAGATCCGTATCGTGATAGAGCGCTCTCATACATTGCCCAAATGCTATGATTAGAAATACATATATCATTAATAAGAATAGCGTATCATCTCGTGATAAAATATATTTAAGCCCATAGTTCTCTTCTTTTTTTAAAAGAAATGTGCACTGGGTAGGTTTTTTTCTATTTGTAATTATGCATATTCAAAAGTAATATATATATATATACAAATCAATAAAATACCAAAAAAAAACCGCATTGCATGTAAATTGTGTGTACGTCTGTACTTTTCTTCTAGCTAATTGTCAGATACCTGGTAGTATAAGTAGGCAGTAGGTTAATTTTGTTTAAGAAAGGGTCATATGTTTACTGATATATCTAAATTTGTGAGAAATGCCTTAATGTATTTTTTTTATGCTAACAATAAAGTTATTTAGATTATTAGTTATTGAACGCGGTTCGCTAATAACAAAAATGTAATAAGCGCAACGGAGTGGACAATTGATCAAACAACCAACAATCCCTGAAATAATACACATGAAAAACACGCGGAGCGTTAACGAGACCAATCGGCATCATCTGTGAAGCATGACATAAGGGACTCACCTGTTACGGGAGTCGGAGTGAGCGTCTGCTCCCAAGGCGGCTCGTCCTCCACCTTCCGGAAGCTGCGCTCCACTGCCGGACAAACGAATCGGTCAGCGGCAGTCGGAGGGAGTCGAAAGAACAAGTATCAGAGAACGTCGGGGACGGTCAATGAGAATCTTAGAAACTCCAATTAATTAGAAGAATGTCAGAATGGAGCAATTAAAATAAATAGAACAATATAGTATCGGAAAGGCGGAGGTAGTCGATTAGATACTGTAAGTCTCCGGTTAAGAGCAAGTGTGATAGAAGAAGACTTACTGTTCAAGAAGTGGCCCGTTCCCGATGATTTTCTGGACTTCTTGTCGCTCCCGTCCTGGCCTGAACAAAAGGAAAATTTAACATTTTATTTATTTAATGTCATCACAGAAAAGAATCATCTTCCAGTATACTCTGTGCAACTTTAAATAAGTTACGATTTCAAAAAAAAATTATTCAATGAAATATAAACAGTAATAATTTAACACACTGATAACAAATGCTAACAGCAAATCAATAATCCTTCTAGCTGCTTTCTATTGTAATTCTCCTATGTATATAATATAATGATGGTCAAAATACTACCACCGATACACAGTACGTTAGTGGATTTTTATCAGATTCGTGACAATGTGGCACCGACCTGGCTGATTGTTGTGGTGTATCCTCTCCATGAAGCGCGAGATGCGGTTGTTGTGGTGCTCCCCGTCTAGTACGCAGCCCTCCTCCACAGACTTGCCGCACTCGCGGTGGACGCGAAGCTTGCAGTCTAATAAAGTCAAACTTTTATTAGATTTACGCTGGCTTCAAGCAATCACATTCTCGGCACCATAAACCGCCGCCGATTTGTAAAGTCAAAAAACTCAAAATGAGTACTCTCTTCTTCTTCTTTCCTTTATGGCGCTTTTAATGAGTACTCTAACATGTTAACGATTTGACATATCTCCAAATAATTTAGTCCACCTTGCCAAATATGTTCCGACAACTTTTTATAATTTGAATATTCATTTTGATAATTTAACACAGTTATCGTTTTATGATTGACTGGAGTTTCGTCTCTGTAGAATGAACGTTCAATGGTGAAATAAGTGTGTAGATGATGACTTCCCTTGGGGAGGCCCATGTCCAGCAGTGGGTGGCAATAGTCTGACCTGATTGATTTATGACCCGGCGGCGCAGTCACTAGGCCATCAGCTTTGGCCTCGGGTGTCGTGGATTGGATACTGATTGATTTATGACCCGGCGGCGCAGTCACTAGGCCATCAGCTTTGGCCTCGGGTGTCGTGGATTGGATACCCGCACGGGACGAGTATTTATGTGACCCATAGATAACTGTTTCGAAGGGTTGACGTCAGGCGGCAGGTCGTCCAAAACCTAACCACTACCAACCATTAACTATATGATGTAGATCAGTGATTCTCAACCACTGTGCCGCGGCACATTTGTGTGCCGCCAAATTTTGCAAATATATAATAATGTTAATATTATTAAATTATATCATTTAAAAAGAAAAATATTTTTTGGCATTAGCCAACATTAAAACTAAAAAAAGATCAAGATTGTTAAATGTAGAATATGAGAGTAGCATTGTCATTTAAACGACCAAATATAAATGAAATTATCAAAAAATATCAAGCTCAAATTTTTGCAAATATATAATAATTTCTATAAATTATCGCATTAAAAATAAATTTTTTTGGCATTAGCCAACATTAAAACTTAGCTTGTAATTTAGAATATGATCCCTTATAAACGTTTAGTTATTATTGTAATATATATTAGTTTATTTCGTATATTTAAATTTTTATCATAAACTATTTATGCAGTGTGTTGTAGTAAGTAAATAATTTTTATCTTTTTCTTTGTGTGCCGCCAAATTTTGAAATCGTTTAATATGTGCCGCAACAAAAAAAAGGTTGAGAATCACTGATGTAGATGTTCGACAACACATAGATGAGGTAAGAGCAGCGCGAAAATGACCTATATAGCCTATCTCGACGGCAAACACAGTGCACAGTGAGGGTCAAACACAGCGCACCTGGGTACGCCGCCATAGTTATAGGTAATGGCGGGGGCTGGACGGATCTTATATTATAATATACTAGTCTTGTAAGAAGGGAATGTGACTCACTGAGGCATATATAGGCCTGCGGCGCCAGGCCCCAGATGAGGAGGTCGCAGTGGTGGCAGTGCGCCACCGAGGTGAGCGCCTGCAGCTGCAGCTGGTGGCCGCGCACCACGTACTGCTCGCACACAAACGGACAAACATCAGCGCATACAGTTCGCGATATCATTTTATGTTAGAAGGTGGCGATCGAGCTGGCTGTTCACCTGATGTCAAGTGATAATCACCGCCCATGGATATTTGCAAGGCCCTACGGGTGTTGCAGATGAGAATACATGGATGTGGCAGGTATTGCGAGTTAGAAAGCACGTGGGGCTGAGGTGTTTTGAAATTTAGGCGTCTTATAATCTAGAAAAAGAAGAGGAAAAGAGAACAGAGGCGATTTAAAAAGGGAATGTTTTGCAGAAAAGAGTGTTTTACAGGTATGATAACTCTATCGGGCTGCGTGCATTACTGACGTTACAGAAATATTCGCCTACTAATTGTATCTTGGGGTGATAGAAAGGAAAACATGGAGAATTTTAAGAGATGGAGTGCCGACTCTTACGCCCGATTTCTGAAACGCTGATCATCGTAGAAGTTAACTATTCAGCTGTCAAATGGCTTTTCAAATGTCATTTGAGTTGCCAAAAGGATTGTTAAACTCTTTGAATTGATCACTCTGATCATTAAGATCATCGTCAATTCAAGTTACATATTCAGCTGTCAAATGGCTTTGGATTACGATGATCAGTGTTTCCGAGATCGGGAGTTAGTCTTGTTGTCAATGAGTGTTATAACGTGGAGTAAAACTGTGAGGTTGTTACCGGCTGAGGGCGTTGCTTGGCGATGTGCTTCAGCCTCTGCTTGTAGAGTTTGTCGCGCTGCAGAAAAGCCTCGCGCGCGCCGCCCGGTGCCGCAGCGGCCACCGCCGCGGGCCTGCGAAACGGACCTTTGAGACACATTCGCTGAACATATATTATATAGCACGAGGTCTATGAGCGAAATTCAACTTTTTAACCGACTGAAAAAAAGTAGGAGGTTTCTCAATTAGACCGTATATGTTTTTACTCGCGGATAGCTTCGTCCTTTGTGAACCGATTTTGGCGGTTCTTTTTTTGTTGGAAAGAAGATATCCCAAGGGTGAATGAATGAATGAATGAATGAATGAATTGGTGGTACCATGATAAGGAAACCCGGAGCTGATGATGGCATCCGGGTGTAAAGTGGCCTTTGAAAAGGCTGTTACAAATTCAGTTTGTTTTCTTTAAGAAAAAAAATATATCTTTATATATGACTCGTGCGATTCAGTGTTTTGGCAGTGTTTGTACGGGACGACAGCGGGAGCTTTTTTGTATATCCTGTCGTCGGATTCTTTAGTTACTTTTAATGGAAATTAGGGCCTACCCTCTAATCGCAGAACGTAGGGTACGGTTCTATATCCTCGTACTAATCATATAGCCATCTCATGGAGTAGATCTATGATCCAGGTCTAGTGCCATTAATGAGCTACACAAGCTACGATCGCTCACCCATGCTTACGAAACCCGTACAACATAATGCCCACCCAATCATACAATTGGGCTGCATAATGAAGGTTCCAAAGTGCTAAGGGCCCTTAAGTGAAGAACCGTCGAAGTACGAACCCTAGTCAACCTTGTCAAGTCTTGCTCTGTAACATCTACTGCACCAGTACGCAACCCCACATTACGCAGGTCTGTAGTACTTCTCAAAACGAACTTATAAAATGACGCGCGCCTTAACCTAAGTAGTTTTATACAGCACCGCTGCAAAGTTGCAAGGGGCTGACGACTCGAACGATGGATTTCCAGTTCGAATCGCCCACACCTCACCATCGTTCCCCATCGTCGTCATCCATCAAACCGCAAACGGACGCTGGTGGATCCCATTCCCAATCGCAACGAGGAAAACACGCTTCCCTAAGTTCGAACACTATTTCCCGTGCAAACTGTACATCGGTATGGAAAGCGCTGGAAATTTCCCAATATCTCCTTTTGGTTCAAGTTAAATCTATTATGTTTTAACCTCAAGTTAAATAAAGTCAATAAAAGAAAAAACATTTATAGTAAAATCACATGACGTCCCTTCCCTGCCAAGAGAGTATTCAGTGAGGGTATACAGTCCACCACGCGAACGGACTGCGGATTGGCGGACTTCAAATACCTTCAAAATAAATTTGATTGTTTCCTCATGATATTTACCTTCACGTGATAATTATAAATAAATATAAAAAAAATCGGTAAAAAGCAAAAGTAGGAAACAAAAGTTTTGCATTTCACACGAGACCCTCCAATTTCGACACAACCCACTGCGAAGGGAAAATGACCTCACTTCGCATACTTAGACTTCTTCTTGGCCCTGGGCGACTGCCACCATCTCTTTCGCACCTCCCTCGCGTCCGCTTCGCTTATCTCTTTCACGTTCACCATAGCGGCACAATACGGAGAATAGTCACAGACACGCGAACCAACTCCATCCACGTACAAACCACTCAAAACCACTTAAATATGTCACCGTTTAAAAGTTAAATAATATCGTACATCGACAAAACCACGACGCCATTTACAAACGACGCTAAACGCTGAATTGACTCAATACCTGATCGGCCCAACAATATGGCCCGACATAAACAATTGTAACCACAATTAACAGTAACTAATTGGAGCATCCGCGCGTCGGATAAAAGCGTCACTGTACGCACATATGTACTAGAAAAAAATTTATAACCTCACATAAACTATTGAAACTTAAACAAAACGATAAACGGATACATCCACACAATATAATTTCGGAAAACTATTTAAACTGAACATTCGGTGGTTCTAGACTGCTAATACGAAACAGTCGATTAATTAACCGGAGGCCACGACAAGTGACCTCACCGCATCACCGTTAAAAATACTATATACATATTACGTCAAAACTAAAGTTGAAGATAAACTAAATCGGAAACATCGACAGCGTTGTCGTAGGATCGGATCCAATGTCACGATTACAATAAATATTTCTAAATACCCCGCGTTCTTGTTTTCCTCGTGTGCCGGTGCGAAACGGGAACAATATTTATAAACGGGTTGCGTCATACGTCCGTAATCAGCTGACGCGGGTTTGGGGTTCCGTGGCCGTTTCGCCGACGTGAACTTGTGCGTGGCTGACAAGTTCTGTATGTAACAATTTTTTTGTTGGATCGATAATGGATGAGCCAACGGTACTAAAGTGCGAGTATGATTTCATGTTCATTCGTGATTTGAGAACTGTATTATAAACATGTTAACCGTCACGATCAAAAAATTGAAAAAAAAAATTGCCCTGATGTTTCTTTCGCTGGCTTTTCTTTTTCGAATCGGTGGTAGTAGAACTATAACAATCAATGATTAAGTGTGATTATTTATGTTGAATAAAGATTATTACTTTTGAATTTTAACGCGGCACGAGACCATGAATATACCGTAAGTACTCAGCGCCCAAAATTTAAAAACCTTTAAAAGCGATAAAGTCCGTAAAAAAATTTGAATAAACAAAAGTTTTAATAAACTCATTAAATTAACTCATTAAACTCATTAAATGACATTTAAAAGTATAGCCAATACATATCGATTGTTAATTATCCATGAATTTAATTTAATTATAGCTAAAGTAGCCTATATTCTATATGAGCGTGTGAGAGCGTGACAGAATCAAGCTGAATATAAGCCGATAAAACATTGCGAACATAACTCTAAAATCACTCCCAAAAGACTATCAAACGTCATTTATAATAAAACAATTCGCCAACAAAAAAAGAACACATACGGAACACAGCGCATAAAAGAAGCTCCCACTTGAATTGACGATCCGTCGGAAATGGACTTTGTGTTTGTGTTAAATATGTGTTTCGCTTTAAAAAATAAACTCGCACAAGTTGTCGAGGCGAGGTGAGGTTATGTGATAAGGCGTTATCAATTAGTCATTTGATTGCGACGCTCCTCGATTTGAATCGAAATAAATAAGCGAAATATTTAAACGTTCCGTTATAAGAGAGTTCTACAATTTTTATTTAAAAATTAAAAAGAAATCCCAATACGAAAGATAAGAAGACGGTGAAGGAGAAACTGAGACAGGTAGAGAGACAGAAAGGAAAAAAGAGATTATTACATACCGCGATGTATGGAGACAAAATATAAGAGGAAAACTACGCAACTGACGGTAGTAAGAACTATCTGATATCCTAAGTTTTGTTCACAAAACCGTATAAAGAGGATGTTCGATTATGTGTCACCAATGGGAGTGAGACAGAAAGCGATTCCGACTGCGGTGCGACCGAGACGGAAATAACAAAAGGGATGTTCGGGATACCTGTAAACTACTGACTTGTACGAACTTCAGGAGCAAATTTAGTTTAAAATAACTGCTAGAAAAAATAACAACTTGCTGTGCCTTGATTTCAGAGGGGTATAAGTTGTGGAGTGGTTAGTAATATTATGTTAATAATATGAATTATGAGTTAATGTCACACTTATTAAAACTTAAGTCAAAGAGACAAAGCACGAGTCGTCATCGATATCATTGCTCCTGGACAACTTATTTCGAATTAGAAGTCATTGTGTAATCATTTTTATTTTGGTATCTCACTTGTTGGTGCCTTTTAGTTCGACACCTCCTTATTGTTTGTAGTACCTACTGATTTAATTTAATAAAATAATATTGGTAACTACATTAAACTAAATCTAAGAACTATTAAAAACAATTGAATTGTAACTGAATTAGTGTTCATATAACAAAATAAATAAATGTGGGTAAAAAATACAATATTTAGTACAATCTACCACGATCTTTCACGACCGAAGGAAGGAAGAAGTATCCGGGCTGTTCGTAATAAGAATAAAATCCATGTTTTTAATTATGCTTTCCGTTAATCACATTCACTGAGTGAGAAGACACAATAAGACGATGCTATCAGATGTTAGCAGTAGAAACGTTTGTGATAAATTGAAGTTAGAAATACGATGTAGATATTTTCCTACGAGTAGCGCCATCTATGATAACATCTTAGTACTATCTAGTAGTTGACCACTAGCGTCATCTGACGCAATGTGCGAAAGTAGATGCCATTAAGAGCGAGTAGTTCGGCTCTCAACTGGGCTGTATTTTTTTTTGTGTTTATTACCTCAGAACTTTCGACTAAGTGGTGATTCTATTTTTTTTTAAAGCCGGTGCTTCCCACGTGGTCCCATATTAATTTCATTGGTGTTGGACCTTGGGCTCCGGATATTTGAAGTCGGTTTTGTTTTTCGTTAGTGAAAAATTGACTTGTAGTCGAGTCAGTATTGAGTTCGGATAAAGATAATGATGCGCTCTCCGTGTATGTTTGACTGTCAAGAGTCTGCCCCAGACCGCCCTGATGAGCGAAGGGAAGCGGCTATCACGGTCGGTCTTATAAAGGGAACGTCAACAGGAGGGAGTACGCACCGGCAGCCGAGGGCGAGCGCGGCGGCCAGCAGCGCGGCGTGCAGCGCGCGCGCGGCGGGCGCGCGGTGCGCGGCGCAGCAGCCGGCCGCGTCGTGGGCGAGGCGCAGCGCGGCCAGCAGCAGCCGCTCCACCACCAGCTGCTCGTGCGCCTTGTCCGCGGCGCAGCGCTGCAGCACGCCGTCCTCGGGCCCGTACAGCGAGCCGAGCCCCACCTGCCGCTTCAGCTGGAACTCGCCCAGCTGCGCGCCCAGCTCCTCCTTGGCGCGCTGCCGCGCCTTGCGGAACACGTTGCGCACCAGCTCCTCCTTCTGGTGCTCTGCGCGACGCGATATCACCAAAGATCACGCTCCAGCCACTGAGCTAAACGGCCGATTACCACAGCGACGAAACATTGCTTTTTAGCATTTGAACCAATGCTCGGCGCATCCATTGTTATATCCTTTCCAGCATACAAACAATCTCCAATATCATTACAACGATAATTCGAAGGAAAGATGTGCCATTGCTTTTTAAAAATTTATTTGTTTTTATAATGCTCTTAAGATTTATATCTCTGCACTAAAGATTAAACATTAAAATTTGTTTCTACAATTTTTTATTTCACTTAATCTTTAATGAACTAACGTGTAATTAACACCGCCTGCGACCGCACAAAATAGAAGAGAACGACATGTGATCACGATCCAAAAAGAAAACTAATAAATTTAAGAATTATACAAAGACAAACTTAATAATATACTGCATTCTCTACTAGCTAACCGTAAATAACTCCGCAAAGCAACAGCAACGTTTGCAAGCATCTTTAATGTCTATACTCGACTTTAATCACATAACTTATTTTGTTTCTTTGTTGTCTTTGTTGCATATGCTTCTTTTCGAATTTCAAAATGCAAAAGCCGAATAAAATGTCTGAATTTCAACCAGCCACCCTCTGCTACAGCCTTCGGTTATAACCGATCATAAACATAGCACTTTCTTCGCCCCGATAGTTAACCTCTTTCCACGACCACTTCCACAATCTATAATATCAGTCATTAGAACTAAAAGAAAAATACTGTGGTAGGGACTTGCCGCAACTTGAACTACATAGCCCATGAAGTAGAAGTTTCATACTTTTGCATTTCATCTGGTTTTCAATGCTTTTTTAACCAGCTTCACCCCTTCCCTCAGCACACTCACCGTAGACCAGCACGTGCTCGATTTCGTTCGCCATGTGCTCGTCGATGCCGTTCAGCTGGAGCACCTGCGAGACGATAATTGGATGAAAATCATATACCGTATACAGTTCTGAAGATTAAAAAAATCGTGCCTGAGAGAGATGAAACATAAATCGAAAAGAGAGAGAGAGAAAGAGAGAGCGGTGTAGAATAATGTCACATTGCATATTAACGCGACTTCCTACAAACGGTTGACGTAAGGGATTGTGTAATCAATATTTTTCATTATATTTCGTGATATTTGGATGACTCCATGTTTCAGTTGCCAAGGTATTGACTATTATATATTTCACACGGGATGAAGAAACTCGATTCGATTCGACTCGAAAGAAAGAGAAGGTAGGTTGTCCCTTACCGCGTTGGGCACGAGGAAGGTGGAGTGGATCTCGTAGGCCCAGCGGCGCAGCGTGGCGGCCGGCACGGGCGCCGTGCGGAACTGCTCCGTCAGCACCAGCACCAGCCACGCGCAGGGGCACCTGCCGGAGGCCACGGCCTGCATTGCTTCGGCCGCCGCACGAGTGGCACCAGGCCCCTCAGGGCAAGTACCGACCCCGCACACGACCCAGTCAAGTGGAAGTCCATGGGCGAAGGTTATCGCTTAACATCCGGTGAACCGCCAGCCCGTCACATTGCTACATTCTCACAATAATAAATAACGATATGTTGCCCTCCTGGAACAAGACGTATGTACAGGAGATATCAAGGCACAGTCCACCGCGCGGCCCCACTGCGGTTTGACGGACTTCAAGCGTCTTCGCAATATTTTTTTGTTCCTCCTTCTCGACGACGCCGTTGCTAAGCTATTGGCTGGGTTCGATTCCCACAAGTGACAAGTATTAGTGTCACTCGCAGATAATTGTTCCAGATCTGAGCGTTTGCTTCCCAAGGTGGGTTGAAGTCAGAAAAGACGTCATTCCTGAACATTAAGGCTGCGGCGAGACGCCGACTCTGCTATTCGGCCATTTCTTTGTTTCAATCGTTATAAACCTAAGTATCGCGTAACGGCTAAAATTTTAATCTCTAAATATATGTGCTATATTAAACCTGGATACTGATGAGTTTTTGTTTAATAAATCGGGACATATTTTAACACAACGTTTCAAACTAAGCAAAGCACTATGGTTACTTGGTAACTGTTAAATATAGTTTCATCTTGTAAAATGTTCCTCACACAATATATTTCCAGTAACGGGGATCAAACCCACACCCTCTGGCGAAAGAGACAGAGTGAATAGTGATCCAGCAGACCGTTGGCAACAAAATGTTCGGACTCACCTCCTCTCGCCGATGAGCCAGTTCAGGAGTACGGCCATTCTGGCCTTCGAATCTCTGACCGAGCGGAGATTGGAGAATAGCCCTGAGCAACTGGAGTTAACCTGGGGACCAATTGGATGCCGTATATCTTATATGTGATAGTGACCAGCAAACCAATCGATTAAAATTTAGTATAGTATCGTGCAAAGTGTCACAAGGACGAGGCACTTTCAAGGCCTTCGCCGTATTATATATTTAGGCGTATAAGGTTATAGCGTATATCTTATTTATTATCACAAAAAGTACACATAAAAAAAGTAGAGAGAAATTGGCGGGAGAGTTTCAAGCTGGTTGTTCTCTAAATTTGTTTAATTCTTTGGGCTTTTTCTATCGACGAAAAAGACATGTCCGTCGTCAATGGTAACCTCACCGCATTCAAAATTTATTCAGTTTTGTACCTCTCCGACTTTGGTCAGTGTTCACGAGTCACTGTAAGACATAGGGCCGTCCCCCGTATCAAGTGTATATTCTCGTCACTAGAGGTCGCTACGATCGAAATAAAACACACTATGGTTTGTACAATTTTTTGTCATCCGATACTCAGTAAGATACGAGTTTCATTTAGCATTCCTACTAGTGTGGAGACCGGTTCATATTAATACCAAGCGTCGGTATTGAACAGTCGGGCTGTCGGAAATTCTCCAAATTGTTACTTTAGCTCTAGAAAAGGACTTACAGAGGCCGGTGAGTCGTCCTCCTCCATAGATATGATAGCTCTTTGTGGATCGACGCAAGGCTGCAAAAAAGAATCAGTGAAAAATATAGTCTTCCTTGTGTTCAACATTTAATACACAAAGTTTTAGCAGCACTCTCTAAGGAACAATTTGAAAGACATACATTGCTAATTTGTAAAGAAACACTTACGTATTACAACCTGAAGAATAACAATGAAACGTAAAAATAGCACAAGGTGATTTATAGTACATAAAATAAATGAGACAATGTTAATAACAGACACAAATGCTGATTAAAACATAATTCTCGACACTCAAAATACTTCAAGTTCTAGTTTAGCGCCAGCGAAACGAAACTATTGTTATTTGTAAATTGTTTATATAAAACAATTAATATAAATAAAATTGGAATTATTTAAAAGTTTTGATATAGTATTGGATAAGAGATGCGGACCAATTATTAATACTGATAGTATCAGCAAAAAAGCAATGCCGTAAGAGAGGGTACTGGAGGGAGGGAAGTACTGGATAGGGGGAAGTAGTGGAGGGAGAAGTAGTGGAGGGGGGAAGTAGTGGAGGGGGAAGTAGTGGAGGGGGAATTATTGGAAGGGGGAGTAGTGGAGGGGGACGTACTAAAGGGGAAATACAGCAGGGGGAAGTACTGGAGTGAGGGAGGGAGGGAGGGGCTCATTGAGGTAGGTACCTGCGTGTTGTGCGCGTAGGGCGGCGGCGGGGTGCCGGGCGGCTCTCGGGGCGCGCTCGGCGCTGCGGACGGGGTCGGATATCACTCAGGGTCGTGGACGTTCTACGTTCGTGTGACCAAACGTTTCCACATCCAACCGCGCACACTCATTACTTATAATAAACGTCATGGATTCTGGTAACATTTGTATTTGATGCGTTAAGGGCGACGGCACCGAGGGTTCGTGTAATCGACTTACGGTCGCGGGTTCGAAACCCGTTGGGCGTCGGTAAGATATTTGAAAACTAATATCTCGCAGTTTTAAAGTCAAGAGTAAGGTGTAAGTCACGATGACACGTCTCATATCTAGAATTTATTCTTGTAACTAGCAAGATTTTAATGAAACAATGTTAACCTATTGACGCACAACTTATAGATAATAGACGTAAAACCGGATAAACCCACGTTTGAAAGCGTTTCCCTTTTCCGTTCTTTGAGTGAGGTAAGTATAGAGTGGCCCTTCTTAAAGACTCAAGAAGATCACACAGATATTGCTAGCGCCTATATAAATGCGCAAAAAAAACGTAGGCTTTAAAAAAATTACTTACCGCGAATTGCTTAAAAATGAAATGCAAACGTCGAGGTACTCACGCGACGGCGTGTGCTGCAGGTGGTCCGGGGAGGACTGGCTCCGCGCGTGCTTCACCACCCCCGCCCCCGCCCCCGCCGTCGCCCCCGCCCCCGCCCCCGCCATCGCCCCCGCCACGCCCCCCGTCCCGAAAATGCACCCCGAACCGCCCCCTCCACCCTGCAAACGACATCACGCTGTTTTTTGTCATTTCTGTTAAAAATAAACAAAACTGAATCCCTATTCCAGTATATGTGAAGAAAATTGTTTATACGGCAGCTTAAAGTAATTTTCCACCAAGAAATATACACTCCAAAAACTTTTATAAACTGTCCTTAACGCAGGTGAAAAGAAAGTTAAAAATGAAAAGAAAGTTTAATATAGAACCTTTACTGACGTATATCAATGCCCAATTAAATAGGCAACAAATTAAAAAACAAGTTTGTTAGTTAGACACACGACATACATTAGTAGGCACAGGACGTGGACATATACAGGATGAGACGTATAACAAACCATTAAATTAGCTTCAAAAAAAAAGTATGTATGAAAAACACACAATGTTACAATCATTGATATAGATCATATACATTTTCGTGTGATCGTTATCCTACGGCAAGGATCCCCAAGGTCCTATACTTACTGATGTAACTAACTGTAAATGTATCTCATATTTTTAACAGTCATAATCCCTAATATATAAGCCTCTCTAGCATCTAGTATGTGATCAGCAATGGACTCGTAACCAAACCGCGAACAAAATCGAAAGTGTTACTCTAAACTATACTTATTGTAAAGTGCTGTAGAAAAGAATACGATCAAAGCAACGGTGCCGCAACGAAATCGAAGAGAAAGCTTTAGGCGAGTTCACGCTAAGGTGCAAAAGCACACAGAGGAAAACACGGAGGCACTCAAACGCCCCCGATTCAGGGGCGAGCCATCGCCCCCACTTACCTGCAGCGGCGGGGGCGGCACGTTGATCAGCGGGTAGCTCATCTGCAGCGCTATCGAGTTGGGCTGCGGGCCCTCCAGCTCGCCGTCCAGCGAGTGCGAGGAGCGCCTCAGCTTCGGGTCGTAGGGCGCGTTCAGGAACTGCTGCTGCTCCTTGTAGGAGGGGGGGCGCTTCGTCGGGTTGGGGGGCTTGGGGCGCTCGGTGGACCTCGGCGGGAGGGGGGGCGGCGCGTTGTCGAGGCACGTGGTGGGCACCAGCGGCACGGTGTTCGCCGAGTGCGCGGGGGGCGAGAGGGGCGAGAGGGGCGAGAGCGGGGCGAGCGGGGCGAGGGGCGCGAGGGGCGCGTCGTGGCGGGCGCGCGCCTGGCGCAGGTTGCGCAGGCTCTGGCCGGTGAGGTTGCTCAGCGAGCGCGGCAGCCCGCTGAGGAAGCCGGCGCGCGGGGTGCCCGGGGCGGCGTGCGGGCCGGACGGGGACTCCCCCTGCGGCGCGAACCACCGCACACATTGACACGGCCGCACACATTAGCGGGTGCGGACGGAGCGGTGTCCGGCACGGAGGACCGACAGCGTGATACGCTCGTCACACCGAGGACGTAATATATATACCGCTCGAAGGACCGATACTATAATTTTCAGCTCGTAATGAGATCGTGGCATCGACAGCATAACATATTAATTATGTCAACTGCCCGACACGGTCCATTGACGCGTGAAAATGGAAGGACATCCTGCTCGAAGGACCGACAAAGTAAGCAGCTCGTGGCATCGACAACATAATATTTCTGTAACGTTCAGTTCGAGGAACCAGCAACTTAATAAAAATTAATATATATACCTGTAGAAACGTTCAAGCCAATAAATAAACTAATATGGACGCCACAAATGACATAATATAAAACAAACATGCCAGAAGCGGTCACGTGACAATAAAAATATTAAAAAAAAAAAAAAAAAAACACGAAAGTTATTGACCCATCATAGTACATCATAAAACGTTAGTCAAAATAATTAGCAATAGATTGAAAACGATCACCAAAACGTACGACTCTCGTCATTTGCGGCTCAAAAATACGGTCTTGATTTTCTCGGCTTATTCTAATTTAAAACTTTGGGAATCTCGAATTTCGAACAGGAAAAGCAACACAGCCCTCCGCAATATGAATAATTAGTCCATCTTCGTAAAATAATCAATCGAAAAATCCGGAAACAAATCCAATTTCTGAGCCGCAAATGAATACTGAATGTGAAGGTAGATAACTGCAAATAATATTTGTAAACGTGATGTATGGGCTACTTTTGCGAGTGTTTCAAAACTTGCGCGAGTAATGAGATAAAAATCTAAAGTGAACCTTACGACGCCGATAAAAAGGTGAAAATTACCTGAGCAGCCATTATCGTGTCGATTTCGTGTTGGAGTTTGGAGCAACGTTGGATCGCCGCCTCTAGTTGAGCCTGCTTCCTCACGTCGGGGACTTTCTGAACCTCATCTTGAACGAAACAAGGATTAAGTCGTGAGATCTAAGAGTGTATCTGCTTTTACGTGTTCCGGACATAGATTAACGGCCGGTTTCAATAATCAATCAACTCTAGTTAATGGGGATAGAAATTTGACAAAAGCATAATGGGGCTAATGTCATATACCTATCGCTAGTAACCAAATCTATTGATAGAATATTACAACCGACCGTAAAAGTCAGAGTGTAAAAATTTCAAACCATTTCATACTTCAAAGGCGATACGGATTTCGATGTAATTTACGTTGGGACTAAATAATACACTTGGATTAAAACAAACGATACAAATTTCCCGTAAAAGTTAACCATACCTATTAGTTTAATAAAAGCCACGTATCAACTGCGCTGTTTAATTGATATATCACACTCCATGGGACAAATAATTTTAAAGAAGAAATAAAAGTTGGCGTTGAACATAAATCCAACTCACTTCGCAACTCCCTGATGTATTTCTGTTCCTTCTGCAGCATGAGCTTCATCGTCAACACCTTGGACTCTTCCAGCTGCCTCTGATTTTCCGGCTGTAAACAAATAATTAGTAAAATATATGATAGCTTCCTGCATTTACATGACTAAACATTACAGGCGTCCAGTGTCCATGAACCGATGGATTCAAAACGTTGAAAATTAAAGTTAAAAAACGCTATAACTATGTTAATATTTTTTTCATTTAGTAAAAAAATAAAGATTAATAATTTCAGGAGAGTCGTACAACAGATTTATTATATCAATACAAGAAAAATCTAAGTAACACAATACCAACGTAGAAAGCTTCGTTTTAACATGTGACTAATTGAAAAAATGTACAGAATTGACTTACGAGTTATCAAAAGAATTTCATTAAATTAGAAGGCAAAGAAGCAAAATGCATAAAAAAACCGAAAACCGAGATAGGAAGTGAAATGACTTTCATCTCTATGAATCCACATCTGAGTAAACGAACCTGTACCAATTAACTTCAAAAGCGAGTATGGTTAGAACGACCTGGCTATTGGCACAAGCCTGACATTGTCTCGGATTGGTTACGTAGTGACCGTGTCGAATATATATTTTAACTCATTCGTGGATGCGTTGTATAACAACGCAGTACAAACGAGTCGTGAACTGAGGAATTTCGTCGGCGACCTCAAGATCAGTTTGTTTGCACAGTTGCAACGATTTCTAGAAAGCCAAGGTCCCACGGACGGTGCGTGATACGTATGTGCCGCTCATCGCGCTCTCCGATTTGGAAAACAAATATGCGAAAACTATAATGATACATTGTTCTCGATCGAGATGCATTCCGCGCCGTTAGGGCAATGTCGAATTCAAGTGACGTGGGCGCGAGAGTACGCTTATAAAATAAAGGCTTCCAAATGGTGGCCAATCAAGCGAGGCTCCAAATGGTGATCGGGGAGTGATCTAATAATATACACTAGTCTGCGTTGACGGAATCTGAATAGTATCAAAGCTGATTGAGCCAGGAAATAAAAAGTTATATATAAGTCATCATCCTGCTGTCTTTATCTCACGTAGGTGGGTGATTGGAACACCGTGTTAATCATGTTGTAAGAGGTAGTGGCTAGGTTTTATACAACAGGCCACCTTCCTGACGTTAACTCTCCTTGGGAATCGACACCTTATATAGAAGAATTAGCCGTCTCACAAATTTGGCCCATGTGGGAATCAAATCTACGAACTCCGGCAACGTAGCCAGCAGCTTGGCAACCGCGCTTCCAAGTCTTTCATATACCAAAGAGTATATTTCGACTGTGGTAGGGCCACCCGACATTCTTTGCCATTGCACGAATGGGCAGGCTCGTCTAGATTAGGTCGTGACTCGTGGTACCTCACAGAAGACCGTCGTGAATTAGAAGTTTTCCTTCTGCTTTCTTCTGCTCTCTTGCCACATTATTACATGAACAAATTAATATCCCATTCAGGCCATTGCGTAAATATTATATACTGCTACAAAGGCTTACTCACGTTAACTGGCAGTGGTGCGGTGATGGGTGTCTTGTTGCGTGAGCTGTTCTGCTGGACCGTCAACACTGTGGTCGGTTTCGCTGCAATTGGCAGAATGGGCCTTTGTAATAAACCGAAATTTGAACGAAGTAAGTTCATCACTAAAAAACTGGTTAGAAATAATGTAAATCTATGCCAGGAATCGGTTATTATTTTTAACCGACTTCTGTTTTTAACAACTTTTTAAAGTCGGAAAAAGTGACGTGACGTATTGACCCTGTAACTTAAAAGCGGGTTCAAATCCTTCAAACGCGAGTCGATGTCGCCAGCAGCTAGGCCATTCCCCACAGCTATATTCCCGAAAAAAGACGTTAAAAAGAAGTTTGGACCACTCGTTCTTAAAGATATTGATCATATTTTTGTGGACTTTTGTGACATTTTACATCCACGAAATGCACATGGACAAGTATCCAGGTACGGAATATATACTCTATCCTTACAAATACTTGACGCGTGTTTGAGAATCGGACACAATTCTCGCAGCGCCGAAGCCATAACCAATATCTTCATGTTTTACCGTGGCACTTGTTATTAAGACTACTATTAGTAACATAGTAAGTATTGAATATTCCCATAACATATTACTAGGCAGTGTTCCTATATATTTGAAGACTCCGTGGCGCGGTTGTCAAGATATTGGTTTCTGCACCGGGGGTCGTGGTTCGACTCCCACACGGGACAACTATTTGTGTGACCTACAGATAATCGTTTCGGATCTGGGAGTTTGTCCACGCCAAATTTATGTATGTAATGTTTTCCTACAGTAAGATTCGTTTTTAAAAAAATGTATAGAAGTCTATACTTGATTCAGACGGGAGTTGTGTACAAGCGAGACTAAAGGGGATTTTTTATACAAGAATATCCCACATCACCTTGCTTCATAAGCAAAATAATTGGTGGCTACGAAGCGTCAGGCGACTCACCTCGTATCATGTGCACCACCTGCTGGTGCGTGTGCTGGTAGACGTGCACGGAATCCACGCACAGGATGCGGTCGCCGGCTCGAAGCCCGGCGCGCCATGCGGCGCCGTGCTCCTTTACAGACTGCACGTATACCGGGTTGTCGCCTGGAAGAAACGGAGAAGAACATCACCACCTTCAGTGCAGGTAGACATTTTGGGTGTTTGAAGCAGACGTTTAATCAACAAACAAATCGCTAAAGTACTTGAGTGCTGCAACGCTGCAGTGTGCATTTTCAATGGCACAGAGTCATATATACCATTACATTAGACTTGTAGCAGAAAAAAGACATCCCTCATTGAATCTCGTGGAGCAAGGAAGGTTGAGCTCCACTTCGACAATTTTTGTTCACATTTCAGAAATAGTATTAATATATAAATATTATTTCTAAAAATACATATAGTTTTCTGCGCACGTATATGCTGATAGGTAGGTTTTATGAATGTCCTAAGTTTGTTTTGAAGACATAAAAAGGAAAGCACACTTTCAGTTTGGATATCGAGACAGCATACTTTACCGCACTGATGTATCACATAACGTGAGTAGAATAGGGCAGAGTGTAAGTTGCGATCACTCGGAACGAGAGTGGCTAGGTGCAGTTGTCGCCTTAATTCTAGAAGCACTAGCAGGGACTAACGTTAAAATTAAAAATACAAGTAAACTACATCCTCCGCCGCTTCGAATATCGATGAGCAGCGACGATTGCTTCGAGTGTTGAACCATTCGCCACAGACCCGTTGCAACAGTGCACAAGGTTGGCACGGGTGGCAGTAGGGGACCGTTGCTACTCACCGGAGACCTTCATGCCGTAGCCGTGCTCGTCGCGCACCACGGTGACGGTGAGCAGCTCGCCGCCCCCGGGCTCGCCCGCGCCGCCCAGCATCACCTGACGACGAAACACAGATATCATTGGACATCGGCTCTTAACAGAGCCTCCCCTCTCTTTTCGACCGACTTCGAAAAAGGATGTGCTCAATTCGCTTGTATTCTTTTATCTTTGTTACAACTCAGAACTTGGCCATGTTTTTTTTTTTTAAATATACGTCGTCTTATATAAAACAGATTTGATTTATAATGTTAGTAAAATGATATTTTACTTATCTACCAAATGAAACTACGTTTACGGATTTGTCGCGTTTATTTTTAGTTTTATTTCCCGACGTTTCGAACCTTTTCAGCGTTCACAGTCACGGGACAGACAGCGGCGATGCACGTCCGAGAGTCATTGTCAGTCCGGGCTACCGCCAGTTTTTAAAATTATTATTTTTTGTGTCGATCTACGCAAAACATGTTAATTTTATATTGTCTTGCTGTAGTGATTCGTTTGTGGTGTTGTTGACATTTGTAATGCGACGCATACTTTTACGAAGAACCAATTTTTATAACCTTTGCGCCACATCATCATCATCATTTCAGCCTGTTTGAGTCCACTGCTGAACATAGGCCTCCCCATAGACTGCCCCGAAGTATTATCCTGAGCCTGCACACACCGACTTCCCGCACATTTGCACAGGTCGTCACTCCATTTAGTGGGAGGTCGTCCTATACTGCGATGGCCAGTACGAGGCTGCCACGCGTTATATAAAATGAATATTTGCATGTTCATGTTCGTAAACTATATTCGTCGTCGTTGTTGTTGCTTACATGAAGATCTTTGAAACATTAAAAACGACACAAAGGAAAAGGTCAAACGGTTAGTGGAGCGCTGTTTCAGACGTTGTTAGCTCCGGTTACGAAACTTAAGCCGTGCTATTAAATGTCCTTTTATCACTGACTGGCTGAAAACGATACGGAATAAGAAAAAGTTGTTTCGAAATTCCCACGACACAAGCCATTTTCCATAGTGCGATTGTCACTTTTTACTTATTCCATTAATAAACTGGCATTAGACTAGAATAGACTGACTAAATAATAACTTTTGCATGAGAGGTCTGCAGGTCTTATTTAAGGATATTGAGATATTGAGACCAAGCGTCTCAATCGTTGAGTAGCAGGTATGGGTATGTCTGCCACTCAATATACCATTTATCCGGACCGGATTTTTTTTCTAATGGAAAAAGGAGGCAAATGAGCAAGCGGGGCGATCATCACCGCCCATGGACACTTGCAACATCGGAGTCACAACTTCTCTGCCCTCGTTTGACGTAGGAGCAGGCTCTCTTCTTGAAGTTCCCTAAGTCATGTCAAACCGGAAATACCGCTGGTGACAACTGGTTGTCTTAGCAGCCGAGAAGAGGAGGCCCAAGAAGCCCACAATCACGTCAGATTGCGTCTTCGTGTTTCCGTGTAAACGGCCGATGGGACAGAGATGGTTACATCGTTATTTTTTTGTGTGTACCTTTTTCTCCATGAATCCCGCATCAATAAATATAACCCACGAAATAAAGAATAAATACAAAGCCGTTTTACATCCACAGATGAGCCGGCCCATTCGCAAACGTTTGCAAACGATTTGCAACGTGCTTCTGCGTGCCTCGCTCTCTATTTCACGGTCGCCTCAAACGACGACAAACAACGCTTTGAAAGCTCTCCGACGTCCAGCTTTTGCGGGGTAACATTTTCATCGGTGACGCGAAGGCCGAGATTTACGATCGCGCCGAAACGTTAGCGCGGCTAAACGGTCGCTCTCGCCCGTGACGCTTCGGCGACAATAAATATTCCACGCGGCCACGGGGGCGATGTGATGTGTAAATATACCGACATACAAGTTAAACATAGACACGGTGTTATGTGATTTACGAGCGCCGGGCACAGATTTTTGCGTTGTTACAGCCACAACGAGAAAGACGATGCAATATTAAGACGGGTAACTCACGTAAAACCGGTGTAAGTACCGACTAGTTTTGGACTCATCGGAGGTCCTTCATCAGGGTGAGTGCGACTAGTTGGCGGTCGCGCCCCGTCTCGCAAAGACGATATTAGAATCTACGAGACGCGACCGTATCGTCGATTCTAAATCGTAAGGCCGTTACCGACTCTATGGAAAGTAAACGTCTTGAAAACGGCGGTTTGAAAACTGTTTTAAATGAAGCACGCTAATAGATGTAGCCGATATTGATATAAATCACCGCGGTCTGTCACGGCCTTTGCCCAGCAGTGGGACATAATATAGGCTTTACTTGTAGAAAATATTCCTTAAACATTGTCATATACTAAGTTTCTATTTCACTATCCAAGCGGTGGTAACCAGCACATAGCATATTACAAAATGGGACTTTCAAACACCAACTATCGAATGTTTCCAGACACGTTTCAACCCACATACTCCACGTGGAAAGATTAGTTACGCCTGTGACTTTGCGTACGCGTTACGGGCATAGGTAGGCTACCACGCAAACGTGATACACAAAAACGCGTCCAGTTCTCTAGAAAGCGAGACGGTCGGGCGTGGGTATTTGCATACTGCTCGTTCCGAATTAATTCTAAAGAAACGGCGTTCGTATAGCGACAACGGATGCGTGGACACCCAAGCTCCGTGCGGCTTCCGGCCGAGTGTCGTGTGCGTTATCATTGCGACGAGAGCGAAACTTAGCATATGCAGAGAGCAAAAAAACACCGGCCAAGTGCGAGTCGGACTCGAGCGCGAAGGGTTTTCCATACCATTATCTATGAAAACGGCAAAAATATCTGTCTGTTGTATGGGAGCCCTACATTGATATTCTTTATAGTTTTCTTTATCTTTTTCAGTAATTGTTGTTATAGCGGCAACAGAAATAATTATCATCAGTGAAAATTTTAACTATCTAACTATCACGGTTCATCAGATACAGCCTGGTGACAGACGGAAAAACAGACAGATAGCGGAGTCTTAATAATAGGGTTCCGTTTTACACTTTGGGTACGGAACCCTAAAACACCAAAATAATCGGATGTCGATTTTGTGTGCACGCATGCGTATACCAAAGCGAGACGCGAGTAAAGACTAAGAGTCAGCGATTAGATTACACAATAATTAGGGTCCTTTTTCGGTTAGGTTCCTTAGTAAGGACAAGTGTATTCGCAGTAAGGCAGTTAGACTCGCAGCTTAGATTGGCAGCGTAGTTAAGCCAGTGTAAACAAAATACACTTAGTCCAATTTCTAGGACGCTAATTTTTAGGGCCCTAATTATTTCATAGTCTAATCGCTGCTTTCGACCTAATCTCACTTATTTTCTGTTTATTACACTTCCTATCAAATTAATTAACGGAATGATAAGGGCTAATGACATTATATACAAACACGAGGTAGATATGTCACTAGTGCACCAAAACTGAGGCACCCAAATAATACCAATTGGTGTATTAGATTGCAATCCTATAGACTGCTATCTCTTTCTGTATCCTACGTTCTATATCATCTGTCACATTCAATTCCATATGTGATATAATGTAAAGCGGAACAATTTTCCAAGTCGCGCAATTTGTACATACGTTATCGTTATTAAAAGATCATTATTAAGGGCAACGACAGTCGCACACTAAGCTTCTTAATCTCTCATTATATCACTTATTAAATCATTCTTCAATTAATATTTAGTCATGATTACATTTACGAAGAATATTGGAATTGAAAAGTTTGGGAAATTGTATTTTGCTTAAGTGTGTAGACATAACGTCGCAAAATTTTGTGATTAATACATAATGCTTCACGCATTGCTTTTGTGATACTTCCACGGTGGTCTATCCAAGGAACGGCCCAAGATGAGCGACTATACTGCAGTAAGTAACGGCCTATATGTTCCACGGCTGGGCAAAGGCCTCCTCTATACAAAGGGTATGAGAGAATAGTCCACCACGCGGCCCGACAGACTTCATATATCTTAGAAATATTGTTTGTTATTATTTCAAAAGTATACAGGTTTCCTCACGACGATTTCTTTCGCCGCCGAGCACGTGATAAGTCAGTACTTAAAATTAATAATTACAGTAGCACCGGTTCCATTATAGAAATAGGGTGTGGTAAATACTACCCGTAAGCTATTAGATGAGCTAAGCACAAGAGAAGAGAGTAATCTCTGAGTCTGCCTCGTTCAGACCCAGGCAGACTGTAACTGCTCTAACAACGAAACGGCTAATTTGACGGCTCGATGTTAAAAATAGCGTTGTTGTTATTAACGCTGTTTTCGAAAAAAAAAACAAAGCACATGGGACCTTAGTGCTCCCGTCGCTCGCCAGATGGTCGGATACGAGGCGCGCCTCGGAGAAAATCGCGAGGGCGTTTTTTTCTACGCGGTGTTCCATTACAACGGCGTGGCGGTCAATGGATATTTCGAGGTCGACAATTCGTATGGAGCTTAGAAAATATTAAATCTACCGCTTGATTATTATGAACTAATATGTTATTTAAATAATTTAGTAGTTATTAGAACTTGGTTCTGCCGGGATAAATAATTGTTATTTTGCAATTCTCTGTCTATCAACCTGTGCCTGGGTAAAATATCGTCTAGATATTTTTCTCCTTTGCTACAAGGGAGTTAAACTAAGAAACACACTTTCAAATTGATAATATTAATAGCAATAAGACATACTGTTAATAAACAACTTTCAATTTAAGAACGACTTTAGTATCGTATTATTGATGAAATGTAACGTATCATTTAATTAACTCTATTTAACGACGCACACCTTGCAAGCCTATCCCTCACTAAACCACTCAAAACCCAAATTAGACCTGGTCAAAATTTCATACAATATTTATATTGTATTAATATTTATACGGGTTCCGTACCCAAAGGGTAAAACGGGGCCCTATTACTAAGACTCCGCTGCCTGTCTATCTGTCCGTCTGTCACCAGGCTATATCTGATAGTTAGACAGTTGAAATTACCTATTTCTGTTGCCACTATAACGGCAAATACTAAAAAACAGAAAAGAAATTTTTTAAGTGGGGCTCTCATGCAACAGAAATTATTTTTTGCTGTTTTTTAAAGACAGTACGGAACCCTTCCCGCGCGAGTCCGACTCGCACTTGACCGTTATTATATAATTATGTCGTTCATTCATTCTAAAGCAATATCGCGTGATAAAAATTCACATTTTGACCAGAAATCAGCTAATCGGAAATTGCTAATTCCATACCAACAAAATGATTAACCGTAAAACCAAAATGAAAAACCTTAATCCAAAAGAAAAGACGAAGATTAAACGCCACTTCGGTACAGTGACACAAGTACATTTTTTTTATTAACGATAATACAAAACCGACATCAAATATCTCGCTCTGTTTTCATTTTATAATTCATTTGAGGAGTTCCCTAAGTATCTCTGGAGCCCAAGGTCCAATACTAATGAAATTAATATGGGACCACATAGAAAGCACTGGTCTGGTCAGTTTTCAAATAAAAAATAATCAAAAAAAAATACAGTCGAACTTAAAACCTCCTCCTTTTTCGAAGTCGGTTGAAAACGCAGCTAAACTAAGAAACAACAAATTCCTAAAGATTCCTTTTATCAACGCACGCAGATTATCGTGCCGATAACAATCCACATCGAACATTAACGGAAGAATTGCGTCACCTGAAGCTGTAGAACACTTCAGCAAAATTCTCGAAATCGACAGAAATTAACGCAATTTAGTAGTAGGTTAAATATATATTTTTTAATTTTTCCAGCTATACGGAACTCGGGCCATCCAATAAGGTGAAGAGACACCGCCCAAAAACTCCCTACACAAAGTGTATAACAAGCAAACATTGTTACAGAGTAGCATTTCCTAACGTTTCGAGCGTTGACAAGGCGCAAACTTAAGTTTCCCTAGAAAGTCTAACCGATGTCAATGGCCATAATTTTAGTAGCAACATAAAAACGCATCAATCTTAGTCAAAGACAACAAAGCTACAATAATACGTCAATATCAAATTAAACGATTAGGTTATGAAAAAGATAGCATCTGTGTTATTTATTAATTAATTATCGGGTAATTACAGCTATTGCCATATTATATTAAAACCAATTATATACAAATACCTGGTAGATATGACTAGTGCACCGAAACAGGCATTCAAGATATAGAATAGGCAAGAAACTTTCTTTGTTTACTGTCCTCTCATTAAGTGTACATTATTTATTTTCATTTTTATTTCAAGTGTTGTTTTTATTTTTCTATAACATGTAGTAAAACTCAATTCTGCTTGATGAAAAATGTATATGTAAAGCAAGACAACAGATATTACGTTTATACATCAAAAAGTGTCAGCAATTTGTACTTCGGGAAAGTTTTGTATAATTATGTTATTTATAAGTCAATTTTTTTTTTCTAACTTGTAGTGGTTTTGCTGTAAATAAATATTATTATTATTATTATTCAAAATTTCAAACTACGCATATTGGTGTAATAAGATTGCAACTCTATAGACTGCTATCTCTTTCCGTATCATATATTCCGTTTTATATCATCTGTCAGATTCACACTTATGTCATATAATGTAATTTAAAGTAAAGTAACAGCCTATACATGTCCCACAGCTGGGCAAAGGCCTCCTCTATACAGAGGGTATCAGGGCATAGTATACTATGCGGCCCCACATATCTTCGAAAAATATATTTTTTTGTTATTATTTCGAAAATATGCAGGTTTCCTCACGATGTTTTCCTTCACCGCGGAGCACGTGAAAAGTCTTAAAGTACACAAAAAATTAAAAACTTCTTTGGTGCCGGGTCCGGGGATCGAACTCAGGTTGCTCGAGTATATTGAATTAAAGGCGAGAGCCCGGACACTGAGCTATCACGGTTCTGTAATCACGGTTCTCATATAATGTAAAGCGGAACAATTTTTAAACGCAGCCCAGTATTCACATGCGTCATCTATTGATTAAAACTTACACAAATGTACCTAATAGTACAAACAATAAATATTCCACACACAAATGATTAGAGAGAGCTAGTCTAGTCTGCTGAAAGCTGGAACACATCCAGGAGTCTGAGCGTCTTGATCGATACTGTTGTCGGCACGCCAAATAAGAGAAATATCACGTACATTATCATGTTGCTTCAAAGTACAATACTCCCATCATGCCTTTTTAATGTGCGTCCCAACCATGGTTCAATATTACTTTTTTATTATAATATTTAAATGCGATTTAATATCAATATTGTTAATGCACGCATATAAACTTGCTTTCAAATAAACTCTATTCGGAGTGCAAAATCCGATGCGCCACATCCGCCCCTTTGTGTCTTATCGCTTTTACAACTTTAGTCCGGTTTACTTCGTCGAGAGATAAGAGCAGTTTTGTCTGCAACAACACCTATAATGTAATCATCGATGTCCTCAGATATGAACCGTTCAAAATTATATACCTATACAATAAATATATATAAAAATATATATAACTTATAACGGTGGTAGGTTCACGCAGCAGCCTTGGTTATTGCACGAATGGGCAGGCTCGCCCGGGTAAAGTGGAAGTATAATACTTTCGCGTTTCGTTTGGTGAGTGGGAAGGCCGGAGCCCGAAGGCGGAGAAGGTTATCAACGCATCTGCAACTCTCGGATGCAGCAGATGTCCATGGGCGGCGGTATTCACTGAACATCGGGTGAACCGCCTGCTCGCTTGGCAACTTTTCACATCAAAAAAACACTAATGTGTTATTTAATAAATGTCAAAATCCATCACCAGTTCGGCAACTAAGCTTGTCAAGAGAAGAACTGTGTGTATTTATTGTTTACATTAATGACAGCTCAATTAATGGTTAGCGCAGTAGCCACAGGACATGTTTTCGATCCCTTCCCGAGACAACTATTCGTGTGACCTACATACATTCGTCTTCTTCGTTTAATTTTTTTTTGTAAATGCGCCTACAATAATGGGTTATCTAATCGTACAGAATAGATAGTGATTAAAACGATCGTTGATGCTAAACCTATCTTAGTATAGATAGCTAATGAATTCTGAATTCTACGCGTACGAACTTATTCAATTTGTTTAATTCTAACACAAAAACTAATTTAAAATAGCGATTTCGCAACTAAAATTAATACAACTAAACATATCGGAATACGGTCTTATCTCCAGTATGCCCTGAATTCTCAGCGTACTAACTTGTTTAATTCAAATCGACTCCTGAATAAATAAAAATTGATATAACCATAAAAACGGGAATTCAATCTTAACTCTATACCTGTCCTAGTTTAGCTGGGACGCAAATTGACTATGAAATTGGTCATTCCAAATAGAGCTGGATTCGATCGGCCCGTACACTTTGTTGTTCCGCACGCGATTGAACTCGCGAAAGCGACTTGATGGTTTATCGTTTGTTATCGTATTCTCCGAACGTATTGACGAGGACGATCAAAGCGAACGAGAACGTATCGTGATTTAATTTGAAGCCGAAAACCCCTCCGAATTACGAAGCAAAGTCTAATCTAAAACCATGTAGTTAGACGTTGTTAGAATGTTTATTTTCTGATATAGGTAATATTGTTAGAAATAGAAACGATAACTGATTTTTAAAAAGAAATTATTGACCAATAGGCCAGACTACATAGAAATTGAACTATAATTCTAAGTAACCGACACAATCGTTATTAACTCGGGTAGAGTTTCATCACGCAACGACAGCTGACGATAGACTGTCGAACACGGGCGCTGCTCGTTTTATAGCTCAGTGCAGTGTTGCCATTCGATGTTTTCGATTTATTTCTAACAATATAACAACGTGTTACTCAGTGGCGCAGTTGCCAAGGGCTTCGGCATTGGGGTTCGTGGGCGGATTTTACAGATAATTGTTTCGGACCTCGATCCCCACACGGGACACTATTTGTGTGACCCACGGGTAATTGTTTCGCATCTGGGTGTTTGTCCGGGTGAAATTTATGTCTGCAAAACGTCCTTACAAAAGGGGCTAATGTTATCCCTGGAGTAAGAGCAATGTTTTTTTTTTTTTAAAAAGAAAAAAAAAACATTGCTTGTGAGGCCGTGGTAATTCCCCGGACATCAGCCTGTCCATTCGAGCAATAGCGAAGACTGCTTGGAGGCCCTACAATAGATACTTTTTAAAGTTGGAAACGCATTTCTTGGTCGGGGATGATAGAATATATACGTTGTTATACAGTAGAAGTTTAATATTTATATCCAATTTTTCACACTTGCCGGTCCCTTATAGTAAGTAGGAATATAACGGTCTATTATAGACGTCTCGCCTTTTTTGTCACAGAAGCGATTTAAAAATCTAGATTGATCTGGGTGCAAAACCGTGTTACATTATCTTGTGCAGATAGTTATTGCGTGTTTTTATCACAG